GAGTTTCAGCTGTCAAACACCTTTTCGTAATCACCATTAGACTCATCCAACTCTTTCCAAATCCTCTGCACTGTCCTCAGATTGACACCCAAACACTCTGAAATGTTTGTATTGGAGCTTCTGGTGTGAATGCCAAGCAGTACAGCATGCCATTTCCAAATTTCTGGTGGAATGAATTGCATCATGGTGCTCTTTTTTCTCACAGACAGTGCCCAACTGACCCTACTATACTGTGCAGTCAACAAAATCAAAAAAAAATGCACATGCATGCAAAAATTAAAAATATAAAATGGCAATAATTTACCCATTGCACCCTGTATGTATATATATATATATATATATATATATATATATTATATATATATTTTTAGAAATTTTTTAATTTTTTGGCAATTTTGGATCATTTAGAAGAACTTACAAGATATTTTTTTTTATAAGGAAATTTATCTGAAATTTTTGATAGAAATTTTCTTTTTTAAGATTGAAATTGGTAAATGCTTTATTTTGATGGTGTCAACATTATACAAACACACACAATATTAAATATATATATATATATATATATATATTTAAAAAAAAAAAAGGATTAAATTATCATAAATTAAAAAGATTTTGTCTTAAATGGTTTTTTTTTTTTACAAAAATGCAAATTTCAAAAATTTTTTCATTATCAGATTCAGATCAATTTTTATTACAATGTCAAACAATTTTATATATATATATATGTATTATATAATGGAATATATATATATATATATATATATATATATATATATAAAAAATTAAATGTTTATATTTGGTGTGTGTTTTATAATTATGTGTTATACAGTGGCTATATATATATATATAATATAAATAGATAAAAAAATTTATAAGTATATTATATATATATTCAATATATTTTTTGTAACTGTGTGTTTTTGTTTATATGTTTTATAAATATAAAACTATATTATATTTTATGGATATTTATTATATATAAAATTATAAATATATATAATACTGAAATATATATATATATATATTTTTTATTGTTTATTATATATATATATATATATATATATATATATTGAAATGTGTGTGTGTGTTTATATAATATATATATCATCAACTTTTTTTTTTTAAAAATTTTATTTTTATATATATATAATATATATATTTTAAAATATATATGATGTAAATCAAAAAATTGCAAAAAAAAATTTTTCATTTTTTCTTTTGACTTTTTTCAAATGAAAAATGTAAATTGAAAATTAATTTTAATGAAAGATCTTCTTAGAAAAATTCAATTTTTGAATAGATTTTTATGTTTTGTGTAAAAAGTTCAAAAAGTTTTAGGTTTTAAATGATAAACAGTTAAATTCAAAAACTTAAATCAAAATTGTTAACAAAATTATATATGTTTTTTTAATTGTGATTTTTGAAATATGACTTTGTTCAAAATTTCATCATGTTAAAACTTTAGGATTAATTTCCAGAAACTCATTCTACCAAATTTTAGCATCATTTTTTGGACTTATGGATTGTTTGGGATTGATTAAAATTTTTATTTATATATATATATATATATATATATATATATATATATTATTTTACATTGGATTTCCCAAACCTCATTGCACTTTGATTTAAATTGTTTATTTGTAAATGTTCGTTGAAAGGATTTTTAAATATGTGAACAAATGTTTTTTTAAGTGTGTCTGTGTATATTTAAAAATTTTTGAAAAACTTTCTAAAAATGATAAGAATGAAATTCTATATGATTTCTTAAAATTCAAACAAGCAATGCTTAATCAAAATTAAAAATAAATTTTTTTTTGATTTGATTTAATAAATTCAATGGATTGTTTTTTTTCAAAATGAATTTTATAATTATATTTTATATATATATATATATATATCATTTAATTTTTAGGCAGGTTTTATATTAGTATAAGTCAATTTATTCTTTTGGCCAAATATTTTTTATATTTTTTTTCTATATTTTTACTTTCCTTTGGACTTTTTTTTATCAAATTTAAAGTTAAAATTTTGTCCAGTTAATCCTTCCTTTCACACACACATACATATTTCAAATATATTTATATTCATAAATATATATATAAAAATTTTATTTTTTTTTTTAATTCAATGATGATTTTAGACATTTTTTAAAGCAATAGAAATGCAATCATTAAAAAATTTTGATATTTATGCAAATTTAGCATGAAAATTTAGAAAAATTAATGAATATTCAACTTTTATGTTCATCAGAAATATATTATCATATGCTCTATCTGTGATATTGAGCATAAAATATCCCATAAATATTTTGTAAACATAAAATATTAAAAACTATATTTTTCACATATCTATCTATCTATAATATATATATATATATATATATATAATATAATATTTTATAATTTCAAAAAATCTTAATATCTGAAATTTAGTTCTTATGATTTTTTTTTTAAAACTTGTTAAACATATTTTTCTTAAATGCATCTTGCAATATTGTATAATTTTCTCAAAATTCAATGAAATGCCTATCCTTTTTAAAAATTTTTTTTTTAATAACCACAAATCAACAATTTTAATTCTTTGGCAGAAAATTAAAATGTTTGAAACAAATAAAATCTAATTAAAGATAATTATTGACCCGGATATAAGAGAAACCCGGATATAAGAGACAATTTTCTCTGCTCCCAAATTAGAGCCTGTGTTAAAATGTATATAAAATTTTTCAAACCTTTATATTTTATTCTTTTCCAGTAACAGAACTATAGAAATATTCGGGTTTTTGTAAATGAAATGAATAATTTTTATTTCAAGACAATTTTTCTGACAAACAGTTGTTTTAATCTTTAAAAATCAAAACATGCAAAAAATTAAAAAATTTTTATTTTGTCAAAAACACTAAAAAATTGTTTTTTTATAACAATTTTGGCTCAAATCTATCAAAAAAAAAGTGAAAAAGGTTAATTTGGATTTTGAAAATTTATTTGCATGAAATGAATTTTAATAGCTACTTGCAATGACCAAATTCCTGTTGACAGCTAAGAACTGAATGGCTTCCATTTTATAGTATTATTTGATTTGATTAAAATGAAAAAAAAAAAAAAAAAAACAGATTCTTATAAGATTTTTAAGTTAATTTAATTTTCTTTAGTTTGAAATTTTTCAGATGTGTGTGTGAAAGTGTATGTGTTTAATATATATATATATATATATATAAAAAAGAAAATTAACATAACAAATTTAGTTCAATGAAATCCTGAAGGATGAAATTTTCAAAAATAAAAATTTTTTCCAATTTATCATAAATTTTTTTTGTATATATATATATATATATATATATATTTATATATATATATCAACAAGAAAATAAAAGAAAATTTTTAAAACATTTACAGAAAAAAAAAATTTTGAATGAGAGAATTCTGTTAATATTTTTGCATAATGTTATACTAAAAAATTTCTTTTGAGTTCCTCAGAACTAGGATGAAAAGAATGTACATTCCATTTACCTCCCATTAATGATGTTATACAAGAATCATTTGCCCTTTTTTTTTCTTTTTCCTCCTTCTTTTATCTATCATTTTTTTGTCGTGTTTTTTAAAAGGTTATTTTAAATAATATAGCATTCATTAAATTTTTTTCAAAAAATAAAGCATTAGAAAATCAATTGATGAAAATCACCTGAAGATATTGAAATGTTGAAACCAAGTTAGGAACATAGGCTGATCTCCTAATTTTTTATATTTAAAACCTCTGTGTTAAATTTTTATTTTATTACGTGTATTGAGCACTTTTTAATACTACTGTTTCCTGGTTTAATTCAACACTGACTATTAACTTTATTATTATTATATCTATATAATTTCTCATGATGTGCTATACCATTTAGGCTGGTAAATGTGTTTAATACTGTTTATTATAAACAGAGCATTTACTTAAATATTTGTATTTATAAAAAAAATAATGTATAAACAGAAGACACATTAAAATAATGGCCGGAATTAGTCCATTTCATAATATGATATCATTTATTTATGTTAAGATACACCTCAAGCAGATATGAGTATTCAAGAGAAATCAGAGGAAATTTGTTGTTTAAAAAAAATAAATTGAAATTTACTAACCTTAAAATATAAAAAAGCTATTTGGTTTAGCATGTCTGGCTATATGATGGTTTTGTGGAGAATAATGGTTCTGATTCCTGTCAGAGGACATATTTTCTCTGAAATTTCATTTATTTTCAGGCTTGTTAATACTGTTTTTTTTATAAACAAGGCATTTACTTAAATATTTGTATCTATAAATAATAATGTATAAATATTAAATATATATATATATATATATATATATATATATATATATATATGAAAACTCATATCCATACAACTGAATATGTTAGCTCTTTCACTGATATCGGGTTGTTTTTATATTTAAAAAATTATATGTATGTATGTATGTATATATATATATATATATATATACACACATGCACATATATATATACACACACATATATATATATATATATATATAAATGTGGTAATGGACAGATATTGATAGTCATTACAGTTATCAGATTATAAAAGAGACAGCAAGATTGTGTTGTAAGAATCTAAAAAACCAGAGGCAGACGTCTTGCCTTGAAAATCAGTTATTTGAATTTAGCTTTTATGATGCATATAGTTTTTAAATATTATCTCCTTTTGCTAAAATTAAAAATACATGACATTCTCAAATATCATACAATCATTGGTATTAGAAATTCTTTTGAGAACATCAACAGATTTTTTTGTCAATTTTTCTCCTTATTCTAATGTTCATACTTTTGCCATTTTTTAATTTTTTCTTTCTTTCTTTCTGCTTTTCTTATTATTTACATCCTGGTATTCTTTCTTACTTTCAATTTTCTTTCTGTTTTTTCCATTTGGTTTTTTTTTTTTTTTTATTGTTTTTTTTCTTTTTTTGTTTTTTTTTTCCTTTTTTTCTATTTTTCTTTTCAGAATTCATTCTCTCTTTTTTTTTTTTTTTTTTCTCTGGTTTTCTTTTTTTTCTTTCTCTCTTTTTTTTTTTCGCCTTCTTTTTCTCTGTTTTCTTTTTTTCTTCTTTCTCTCTTTTTTCTTTTTTTCTCCCTTCAAACTCCTTTTTCTCTTTCTTTTTCTTTTTTTCTTTCTCTTTCTCTCTGTTTTTCTTTTCGCCTTCTTTCTCTCTGTTTTTCTTTTTCTTTTTTCTTTTTCCTTTCTCTCTTTTTCTTTCTTTTTTCCTTTTCTCCTCTTTTTTCCTTTCCTCTCTCTTTTCTCTCTGTTTTTTCCTTTCTCTTTCTTTTGAAAATTGTTTTTCTTTTTCTTTAATTTTCTCTCTGTTTTTCCTTTCTTTTTCTTTTTCTCTGTTTTTCCTTTCTCTCTTTTTTTTTTTTTTTTTTCTTTTTCTCTCTCTTTTTCCTTTCTCTTTTTTCTCTTTTTCTTTTTTTTTCTCTTTTCTCTTTTTCTCTCTCTTTTTTTTTCCTCTTCTCTTTCTCTCTCTTTTTTTCCTTTCTCTCTTTCTCTCTGTTTTCTTTTTCTCTCTTTCTCTTTGTTTTTTTCCTTTTCTCTTTTCTTTTTTTTCCTTTTCTCTCTTTCTCTCTCTTTTTTTAATTCTCTCTTTCTCTCTGTTTTTCCTTTCTCTCTCTTTCTCTCTGTTTTTCCTTTCTCTCTCTTTCTCTCTGTTTTTCCTTTCTCTCTCTTTCTCTCTGTTTTTCCTTTCTCTCTCTTTCTCTCTGTTTTTCCTTTCTCTCTCTTTCTCTCTGTTTTTCTTACTTTTTTTCTTTCCGTTTGCCATTCTTTCTTTTTTCTTTCCGTTTGCCATTCTTTCTTTTTTCTTTCAGTTTGCCATTCTTTCTTTTTTCTTTCCATTTGCCTTTCCTTCTTTTTTCTTTCCATTTGCCTTTCCTATCTTCTTTCTTTCCATTTGCCTTTCCTATCTTCTTTCTTTCCATTTGCCTTTCCTATCTTCTTTCTTTCAGACTGGTTTCCTATTTTCTTTCTTTTCAAATGATTCTCTTTCTTCTTTTGTGTCTGGTTCTCTTTCTCCATTTTTAGAGCAAGCCTGCTAGATAATGAGTGATCTCAGGAAACATTTGTGAGTAAAACCTTTTTCTTATTGCTACTATGTGGGCAAGTATTTATGGGAGAGTGGTTTCCCGGCTGCTCCTTAAGATGGAAATAGAAATCTCAGAAGTTGGTTCATGCCTTTACAATTTATAAATACAAGCAATCTATATCAGAATTAAAACTTGGTTCCCGGACTACTGATTCTGATGGAAGTGAATAAAAGCCACTGTCTATGACGCTTAACATTTTGATAAAAGATCCATTTTTCGTCACCAGTCAAAAGGTGAAACAAGTTGGCGAGAATGGAGAGAAGAGCTGATGTCAACTCGGGATTTGAGGTTGTTTTCAGACAATTCATGAGGCACCTATTTTCCAAGTTTAGGAACTTTTCCAAGTTGTTGAAGATGACGATGAACAGTTGTATGGTTTGAACTGAGAACCACTGCCAATTCCTCTACTGATAAAGCAGGATTTTTTTCAAGGGCTGCTTCAAGAAGCTTTTCATCGAACTCAACTAGATGTTCAGTTTGATCTTCATCTTCAAGGGTGAAATCTCCAACTCTGAATTTTGCAAACCATCTTCTGCAAATTTTTTCATTCACGCATTCCTCTCCATAAACTGAGTGAATGTTTCTAGCTGCTTCGGCTGCTGAGTTTCCTTTCTTGAACTCATAAAGCATTATGTGCCTCAAATGATTCTTGGGTACTTCCATGTTAGCAAGGTTTTAATCAAACAAAATTTAATTTTATTGTTCTCTGAAATAAAACTTGATCAGTTTAAATGCATAATAATGTTCAGCTCCATTAGACATTATAAAGTACTCTTTGAATTTCGTTCATTTTAACAAAATGTTAAAATTCGCACAGAACTTATGGGATGACCTGATACATAGCATGGCGGGTCTTAGACATAAAGATTAAAACTGATTGATATAGAAATGTAGTTTGTCTAAGCATATTCCATTGTAGTCACAATAAAGCAGTGTGAGGCTTTTTACATATAATCTGTCAAAGAGAGGTTGCAGAATGGAAAATAATTTTTCACCCACAACAATGAGGTGAAACTTTTGGACTCTATCAAGACTAGAAAGTAAAGACTGAGCAGCTCCTGCCCAAATATGACAGAAGTACTCAATTTTAGGCTTGATCTGGTTCTTGTAAAGGTAGAGAATAGCGTGAGGTATCAAATATTATTGGAGTGGTGGTAAAAGGAACCCACTACTTATATTGGGAATCAGGTACTTATTGGAGTGGTAAAGAGAACCGACCACTTATATTAGGAATCGGGTACTAATTGGATTGGTAAAGGAACTCTCACTTTGCATTAGAATCAGGTAGATATTGGTGCTGTAAAGGAAACCATTCATTTATATTATGTTAGCAATCAGGTACTTATTGGAGTCATAAAGTGAACTGACCATTTATATTATATTAGGAATCAGGTACTTATTGGAGTGTGAAAGGGAAGCGACTACTTATATAAGGAATCAGGTACTTATTGGAGTGGTAAAGGAAATCAACCATTTATATTATGTTAGTAATGAGGTACTTATTGTAGCCATGAATGGAACTGACCATTTATATTATATTAGGAATCAGGTACTTATTGGGGCAGTAAAGGGAACTGACCACTTATATTAGGAATCAGGTACTTATTGGAGTGGTAAAGGGAACCGACCACTTATATTAGGAATCAGGTACTTATTGGAGTGGTAAAGGGAACTGACCACTTACATTAGGAATCAGGTAGATATTGGTGCTGTAAAAGAAACCATCCATTTATATTATGTTAGGAATGAGGTACTTATTGGAGTCATAAAGTGAACGGACCATTTATATTATATTAGGAATCAGGTACTTATTGGAGTGTGAAAGGGAACCGACCACTTATATTAGGAATCAGGTACTTATTAGAGTGGTAAAGGGAACCAACCACTTATATTAGGAATCAGATACTTATTGGAGTGGTAAAGGGAACCGACCGCTTATATTAGGAATCAGGTACTTATTGGAGTGGTAAAGGGAACCAACAACTTATATTAGGAATCAGGTACTTATTGGAGTGGTAAAGGGAACTGACCACTTACATTAGGAATCAGGTAGATATTGGTGCTGTAAAGGAAACCATCCATTTATATTATGTTAGGAATGAGGTACTTATTGGAGTCATAAAGCGAACTGACCATTTATATTATATTAGGAATCAGGTACTTATTGGAGTGTGAAAGGGAACCGACCACTTATATTAGGAATCAGGTACTTATTGGAGTGTGAAAGGGAACCGACCACTTATATTAGGAATCAGGTACTTATTGGAGTGGTAAAGGGAACCGGCCACTTTTATTAGGAATCAGGTACTTATTGGAGTGGTAAAGGAAACCAGCCATTTATATTATCTTCGTAATGAGGTACTTATTGGAGCCATAAAGGGAACTGACCATTTATATTATATTAGGAATCCGGTACTTACGACTGATATTAGTTCACAGTCCAATCAGCAATAATGGAAAGTAATTAATTTGGTTTTTGTGGCATTGAATGTAACCAGCCAGTATGTTGAATCTAGATTAGAGATCAGCTGCCAATCTCTGGTCATCTTGAGTTTTGGAGGTACTCCCATATACCATTGTATCATCAGCATAGATTTTTTCAAATGATTGGAATATATGCTTAGGCAGATCATTTCTAGAAAATAAAAAGAGTGTTGGTCTGAGAAGATGCCTGCTGTGATTGCTAACTCTCTACCTTGAGTAGCTCTTGAGCCTTGTCTTGAGTGAACAATAACATAAAATAAAAACATTATCTGCTCTAGGGCAACCAGATGAATTCATCTTAAATTACCCACAGAATATTGCTTGCAGTTGGTGGAATTATACACAATCAGTAATTAAATTTAGCAGTTTCTCCCTTCTATTTGTACCATGTAACTTAACGCTATCTGTCTCATATTACTTTAAGACAAGATGGACACCACCAAATAACTCATGCTGTCCTACAGATATCTTGAAAATCCCATTCGTTTAGACACTTTATCTCTTCAGTCATAGGAGTTTTTTATGTTACTAAAGTTTACCCAATTTCAGGTTCAAGAGCTACTCAAGGTAGAGGATTATTCAATGAGATGTGTGATATGAATGAAAGAGGACATGCTAGTAAGTGAAAATTATAAGGAGAACAGATAATAATTGACCTTTGAGCTGAGGAGGTTAAGGTTGTAATGTTCAAGGAAGCATCCACACAGGAGTCTGTCCTATAAAGTTGCAGTTTTTGAGAAAAAGCTGAATGGAACATCCTCCTTATAAATAGAATATGGAAGAAATGAGAATGATCTTGACTCCTTGAATGTAGCAAGTTATGTCCTTGTTGCGAAGGTCCAAAACATGTAGTCAGTGATTCCTTCATGTGCTATCTGCTTCCTACTCCTTAGAGGACATGACACTGCCAGGTATCATCTTTTGCTCTCGGGATGCCATAAAAATTCAGTATGGTTCGCTGCTGCTGTAAGTTATCAGAAGGATACATTGATGGGTTTCATCACAGGTATGTCACAGAGAATAACATAAAGGAGTGAAGTCTGATTGTAAAGTCTACTCTGTTACTGGTGTCACAGAATCCTGTATTCCTTATTTGAAGATGAGATGGGCCCTGCCAAAAATGCTATGAAGGAGTTTTTATGGTATTCTAACAATCTCCAAGATGTAGAATATATCTGAAATAGTGTTTTATCATTAGTTTTTCACAGCATTTGAGAGAAAAGTGTTCTGTCTAGTCAAGGATTTTTTCTTGGTACTAGTATAAAGTGTTAAATGCTTGTTTAGCAGACTATTATTTTAGGGGAAGTGTATCTCAGCTCCAACTTCCACAGGTTTACATTGAGGGTCAGATGTGAGACATAGTAGGGAAGTCGATTTTGATTGACTGAGCTATCATAGGAAAGATAGATAGGAGAAAGTTTTCAGCAAGTTGGTTCTTACCTGTCAAGCAATGTAGACATATTCTCTTTCATGTTCGAAACGGCTCCCTAATGGGGGAGGGGGCGACTCCCACTGGGTAGTTAGATAAAGGTATATGTTGACATGAGTAATA